GACTTGTGTCGTTAAAGTTTCGTTGGAACAAAGTTACGGAAAGTTAATTAACAAACGGAGACGTAACAATATGTATTTTTCATATTATATGTTTCTTGGAATTTCTTGGGTGTTGTGAGATAGCGAATTCTATTTGAATTTATTATGGTTTTGTGTATCGTTCATTTATTATTCCTTCTATCGTCTAGTTCAGCTACACATTTTTAGTTATATCAAAATGTTAACTTGGTTTGGTTTATTATGAATTTCGGCAAAGCTACACGAGGGCTATCTGCTTTACACGTCTCTAATTTAGCAGTGTAAGACTAGAGGGAAGGCAGCTAGTCATCACCACCCACCGCCAACTCTTGGGCTACTCTTTTACCAACAAATAGTGGGAATGACCATCACATTATAACGCTCCCATGGCTGAAAGAGCAAGCATGTTTGGTGGGACGGGAATTCGATTACGAGTCGAGCGCCCTCTAACCACCTGGCCATGCCGGGCCAAAATGTTAACTACCTTCTAAATAGAGGACGTTGATTACTTACTCCTCCGAAGGTGAACGGAGGTTATTTTTTCACCTCTGTATGTGTGTTTCTCAGCAAAATGTGTCGATAACGGTTGCATGAATTTGGATGAAAGTTGGTGTACATTTGGACTATGACGTAACATAGAAGTGGATAGTTTCTGGAGGGTAAGGTCATGAAAAATCCATATCTGTTATATGGAGACCGATTTTTCACACTATATTTTCTCTATAACTCAGTTGAAAATGGTCAGATTTTGATGAAACATGGTGGACTTATTGTAGAATATTGTTACGTATCTGCTTTTTTGCTAATTTCCGATAAAAATTCTTTCCGAGAAACTTCAGCGATACAAGTCCCTTCTTGATTAAAACTAGTTTATTATTTCTATATACAAATTTTGTAATACACTTAACAACTTCTATAACACACGCTATAAATCAGTGATGCACACACTTTACTTACGATGCCTACTGTTCGCTTGACACAATTATCTATCTCTTCAATTTACCTGCATATCTCTTCGATCTATGCAATTTTTTTTTTTTTTTTTT